ATGGACAGCTCCCTGGACAGCCTCTAGAGATGGCTCCTAAACCCTTCGTCAGTAAGCATGACTGAGACACCATTAACACTGGTCAGATAGCTTTCTTTACTCTGAGAGACTACTCTGTGCCTAGCTGTTATCCGTGTGTGTGTGTGTGTGTGTGAGTTTTTGTTAAATACTTACTGTTAACAGTATATCTCCTTGTAAAAAAGAGCTGATGGACCTTTTAGTAATCAGTTTTCAACTTAAACGATATCTTAGTTCTGTTGAAAGCTTAAGAAGGACTAAAGGTTTTGATTTTAAGGACACTGTGAGGTCTTTATTTTCATCACCTCTGTACTTAACTTGGAAATCAAAGCACAGTCTGTCTTTGTTAAGTGTCTGACCTTCCTACAATAAACCTCAATCAATGTCTCTAAAGATCAAATTTCATATTTAGATAAACCCAGATCTTCGCCTGTATAACAAATGTCAAATGTTGCTTCTGGTGGTGGCAAGAGCGCAAGCCAGGAGGACCGACCATCGCCTGACATTTTGTTCTAATGAGTATTCATCTGCTCCTTTAAAATTACTACCAGTGATGTGTACAGAAAAGGGAACACAGACAAAAGACAAAAATGGTTCCAGCTACCTCGCAAAGTAAAGTTGAATTAACAATGCCCTACATGTGGTTCTTTTCCAAATGGCCAACAAACACATTTTTTTAATGAGGATCCAGCAGTTGATCTGACTCCCTTCTATATGCAAAATATTCATAAAGTTGCCTTAAAGTACTTTCCCTCTTCATATCTGATCATCTTAAAATCACCACGTTCATGGGAAAAGGCCTTGTTCCAGTGAAATCACATCATTAAAATGTGACTTAAATATTCTGCTCTCAGGCCACCAGACAGACGAGGAACATATTTCACAAACAGAAACCAGTGGGAATCTCATATGTCTATCTGTGGCTTTCCCTTCCGCAGCCTCAAAAACTGTGCACACCCACACAAAATAAATGGGTACATATGGCGGAGCAGAGGCATCTGAATCAAAACAAATCTCACTCCGTGCGACGGGGTCGTGATCTCTCCGACACGATACATACATTCAATTTGAATCTGACAAAACATGGGTGTGAGTAAAAAAAAAAAAAAGGAAAATAAGGATGTGTGACACACAATCACTAATAATGAGGGATGTGGCAGGAATGTGCCTACTCATCTGAGGCAGGCGGGGAACAAAGGTAATGAATAAATAACTTAGCTCGTCATCAAGTGGAATGATAAATCTACTTCATAACACTTGGCGATGATGGCGGCGTCAGGGTTTCTTGAACCTCTTGATGAAAAAGTGGCCCGTGAAATCGGTTCACTAGAAGGTGTCACCACAGTCCGCTGTCTCCTCTTTCACCCACTCATGCCCTATCCTATTATTTCAGAATGGCAGGAAATTAGACAGGGAAAGAAATTGTTGTCTGATTCTGTCACCAGAATCTGTGGGCCTTTAATAAGGCTTTCCCAGAGGCTGAGTTCAGACTTTGAGGCTTTTGATGATGAAGACGCAGCTCCCGTGCCCGGCACTGACAGCTTCGATGCTGCTTTTTAATGCTACACTGCTGGTGCACATGGTTGCTATTAACCCCTGAGATATGGCGTATGGACCAAGGTGGCACTTTGCTCCATGAATCGCTGCCTGCTGCACGATGATGAATTATGGAATTCGGCACAAATATGCAAATCTGAACATTAGCCTAGTTATGCCTCTGTACTGTAACTTACAGTGACTTATCTATTATGTATGAACGAAGGATTGGAGTGAAGAGGTCCTGGCAGCCAGCTTCATTGCCCTCTCTCAGTTGCTCACTTTCGCATCATGAAAGAGCATGAATAGCAGGGGAGGTTGCTCCGAAATGCTAGCCTTCTGCCTCTCTGCATCTCCCAAGACCTGAGAGAATTAGAGCTTCCTTCTACGCTCGATTGCCAAGCTACTTAAAATAACAATGGCTTCCACAGGATTTGGAGGCCTGGGAGATACGCAGTGGAATAAGCATGAAGTTGTTGCTAATCCTCTAATTTCCCCTCACAAGGCTGATATGAAATGCTAGTCTGATCAGTAATCAGTCCACTGGGGAGGCAGACAGGAGATCCAGCCAACTCTACAGGCGCACACAAAAATCAGCCTCTGTATGACATTACCATCACAATACTGGATGAGTGATTGTACTCGGGGCAACATAATCATAGCGGTGTAAATATCCAAAATCAAGATGCCAGCAGAACTGGGAATCGACTATAGGTCAAACAGCTCAATTTTGAAATCACACACAGGATCTGCCCAGGCCAACACATAACGAATAAGTCCCGCGGCTCTGAGATGAACTGAGCGATCATTAGCTTGGATCAAGTAAATCATCAAGCACGTGGCAGCTGACAACTTCTATTTAACAGGGTTGCCATGAAATATTGATACCTGGTCCTCATGAACCCAGTCGCTATGGTAACAAGAGGAAACCACTCCTTCACATTGTGATATATAGACGATAACCTTTCTTCTTTTTTTTTCAAAAGACGAATAAACATTTTTTGGACATAATTGTGGAAAAAGTGTCGAAGCTTTAGGCCTCTGGGTTGTTTGACATCTGAGAACCAGCACTGCTGGGAACTGTCGACTTTGTGTTGCGCTACATTGATAGAAAGATGATTTTTCAACTGTTCCAACAAGCACACATGCCGTTGGCTATGTATCGTTAGTGATTTAAGATTTTTCGTGCCTTTACAATATACAGCATTTGGGAAGACTCATCATCCTGTTAAATTTGTATTCCACTCCAAAAAAAAGGTGAGATGTTTAGCCTGGCTTGCTAACTTCCATTCAGAAAGTGGCAGCTCGCGCCCCCTAGCGAACGCAAATGTAGGGGGTGCTATCACTGTAGGAAAATAGATTTAGAGAAAAACTTTCTTTTTGACCAAATAAGCACACAAGTCTGAAAAAACAACCATGAATCATTTCACATAACTTCCATTACTTCAATACAAAAAAATAAATAAAAGCCTTGAGATTGCAGCAATCACATTTTGCAGTCAAAAACTCTGGTTCTTCCATAAAAGCTATTTTTTTATCTCCTGCAGGGGAATCAACCAACCAATCAACCACAAGAAAAAAATTTGCATTTTTAACAAATGTCCCTGCATGCCTCAGCTAATAGTTTTCATTCTTTAATTCAACAAACATAACCTCATGAAATATTAATTCCATTCTCTTGCTATTTTCTATGGCTCTTGATTGGGAAAAGGAAAATGCATTTTTTCTTTGCCCCCCCCCCCCCCCCCCCCCCCCCCTTTCTTAAGTGGAGCCAAATGGATCTCTATCAAACAAAACATAATAACAGGAAATTGTACACAGAGAACAGTTTCTCTCCCCTCCTCCTCCTCGTTTTACCCTTCCCACATGAAACCTGCCTGACATTACGGTGTAACATCCACTGACCCTGTATATTTGTCCAGTCATACATCACTGAGACACCCTGAGTTTTCTTCGGGGATTTAGAAATCATAACACCTCCCTGGAACACCATCGTCTTTACAACCAGACTCATAAACACTTACTGTCAGGAAAATCCCACTGACCATCCAGCCCGCTGCCTTCCATATAACTTCACCTTTACTCACACATTTGTTTCCAGGACAAGCGAAGGCAAACTAAATATCTGTCCCAGTTTAGCTACATTTAAACAGTTGCCCTATTTATGTTGATTAGTCGAGTATGAAAATAATGAGGACGACCCCTCTTTCATATTGACCTTTTTCTGTATCCAACTTTTCTGACCAGTTCCATTTCTCACTACAGGAGCTGCCTTTCAGTAATGATTATATATGTGTTCATTGTGTTACGATTATGAATTATTTTTTAACACCCTTAAAAGTATGTTCCTACGTTTTTTTCTAACGTTTAAGTCATCTACTTTTGCAGAGATCTTTAATTTTTAAGATGTTTGGTAACCTGTGCATCCAAAATGGAAAAAAAAAAAGGTAGTGCATGTTACTCTTCAATGTAACACACACTATGCAGCGCCTTTCAGTGTAATGAGCTGTCTACACCCACAATTGTGAGAACCAGAGGCTGCTGTTTAATCTGAATTTCATCAGAGAACTTATTCAACTCAGACACCGTCTTATGCTTTTGAGAAATCCTGCAGCTAGATGCACCGGTTCACATAAGCCAACACCCACATGCTCATAATTAAAGGTGATTTGCACAGCCTGTGGCAATTTGCATCCGGTGACGTTAATACATGGCTGCTGGAATTGCACTAGGTAGGTCTGAAACCAGATATTGTCTAGGAGATGCTGAGGGGAAAACAATACTACATCAAGGCTGCATATAACCAAGAGCAGGAAATTGGCAAATACCATTCATTGCATGTCTGCCCTTTGACTTGAGCATACTTTAACATCAAAAACAGTATGAGACCTTTCAGTTTTATGCACTAGTCTTCAGCACTAAAAGCAGAACTTCTATGAATGTCTGCTTGAACTTGCTTGTTATTTGAATCTATTTTAAATGCACTAACTTAATACATTTCAGCCAAAACTTTTAATACATTGAAAGTGTTCAAGTTCGTGTTATATGGCATAGCCCTCAGGATCTACTGAAGAGTGCTCTCTTGTGAGCTTATAAAGCTAATTTATTGGATGTAGAATTTTAATTAGTTTAATCAATACTCTATTACAGAAGATTTAAATGTGAACTGCAGGGAAAAGACAAGGCACTCATTTCCCACGAATGAATGACTTATCATCTTTTTAAATGTCACAAATTCAGCATGCTGCAAGGCGATACCGGATTTATTCTAGCTTAATAATGGATAAATTAATCGCCCGTGAATTTAAAGGCATAAAACATCCTCCTGTCAGACGCTGGAGATTCAAGTGTTGCACAAAAGCATGTGTGTGAGCCGCTGTGTCGTCCAGGAGCGACGCATTTCACACAGTCAAAGTAGAGGAAATCTTTAGAGAAAAGCTGGTTACCTCGTACGGGATCTCGGGGAGGATCTCAGCGCGCCTCTTGGGTTTGGGTTGATCTCAGGAGCGGAGAGTGATGATAATGATGCTGAACCGCGGAGCGCACTTTTGCGCACTGCTGGTCCACACAGAAGAAACGCGTACGTCTCTTGTCTCGGTCACTCTCATCACTGATTCATTTGAAAGCGGACACCAAGGGGGGAACGGACTCCTTGTTTTCAAAGCGGATAACTCGACTCCGTCTCCGGCTCACGCAGACGAGGCTGTGTATAGAAACGCGGGTAGAGTTGTGCCCGAGCCGCTGCTTTGCGTAGCAGACTGGAGGGAGCGGGGAGGAGCCGTCTGCCGTCAGATGATCTGGGCAAGGTCCTGACTGATACTCTGAATTACCCAGCCTTAGCAGAGCTGCAGTTCAGACTTAAACACAATAATCCCCATCTAACCATCTACTTTCAGCGGGAAATGCTACTTTTACTGTCACATATACTTATAAGGGTGAATATTACGCTTGTGTATTAGTGTTCTGCCTGTGTAGAGAGTAGGCCTGCTGTGGCCAGCAGCTGTTTATTATTTCAGCCTAATACAAAATCTGCTGGATGTGCTAAATTATCATATGCCTAATGCCTAAAAAGCCTTTGTGAAATAAACAATATTAAACTGCGTTTATAATGGATTAAATGACTGTACATTCATACCATGGAGTAAATCAGATAAACTGCAGAGCCAAAGAGACACACTGTACTGCCAGAAGAAAAATCAAGACAAGGTCATCATAGCATCACCACTACAGTAAGTAGGTCTATCTCTGCATTTTAAGTTCTTGTAGAGATATTATAGCAACATAACAAACACTGGCACTGTAGAAGATTGAAGGAGCATTTCAGCGATTTTACACATGAAGTTCACTTTACTCATCACATGCTGAGACGAGCCTGGTGATGTCACCACGATTGTCTCAGCTTTGGCTCAACTCAGTTTCAGAAATAGTTCACAATTGGGGGATGGGGTCTAATGAAAGATTACGTTGAGATATGGGAAATGTAGTGTTTTTGGTGCTTGACCTATTGTAGAGACTAAAGTTCATGTTATACTGGAAAAGATGTAGTTGATGTGTTGTCCAACCACGTTGTAAATGTTTACAGCTGCTCTGGATGGCCACACTTGAAGGCAGGACACAGGAGAGGGGGGAGACAGGGTATGGTTAAAATATGGGGATAGGGGTAAATATTTTCTCCTGTAAGGCATTCATAGCGGTGAACTCAATTTGCCACTTGAACAGCTATAAACACATTTGCCTTCTGATCAACTTGGTTGGAACATGCTGACTATAAAGACCATTGACCAGTGAGCCCATATGCCCTGTGAACGGGGAATTTGTCAACCTGGAAGACATCCCTCCCATCAAGGTACAAATGTCTCCTGAAGTGGGCAATCACATTGCAGTGATCCTACCTCTGCAGGGACAAATGCGAGGAAAACCCCTCACACCGAGAAGCATCTGCATTAATTATAGTTATATTCCTCAACTTATTTAAGTTTTTCCTTTAATTTGTCACCACTAAAGAGTTTGGAATTCTGTTACACGTTATGCTTGTCTCAGAAATCATTGATTTTTTTTTTCTGCAGGAGGAAGAAACTTTTAACTCCCCCTTGGTTAAAAGCAGTCTGTCTCCATGTTTAAGTCATACTCATAAACACAAGCAATTTACCAAACTTTAGTCCTTCTTTCTCCCTGCTTCAGTTTGTCAGTCTAAAAACAGACTCATCGCCTCACAGATGGGACTGTATGTCTGAAAAAAACAGAGCTCCTTTTCTAAGAAAAGGTCCGACATGCCTGTGAGCAACATGTGAATTCAAAATCCCCATTCATAATGTGTGTCCAACATCCCCATTGACTACACTGACTACTTCCTACAGGAGACTGTCTCAGAATCCTAGCTGTTGTAGCCAGATGCCTAAAAGGAGAGCCAAAGAGAGGGCAAGAGAAGGGCGCATTTATATTTCAACAGCCCAGTCCACATTTAGAGAGCAGGAGAAAGACAGAGATCATATTTGATTGCTTAAAAATGCATGGTGTTTGTTCGACAAAAGATGGCAGCTGCATGTAGATGTTAATGCTCCGAAATGAGGACGCTGAGCAAGTCGCAGCCTAGTCAGCAACAGTGAAGCCGACATGGGAATCTGAATCGACAAAAAAAAAAGTCAGTTTTAGTTTTAATTGAGCACAAAAGAGCCCTTTCAAGTGATGGGTTTACACTTTGGGGAGTGGAAGCTAAAATTCTGTCCTTCTTAATAAAATATAGTGCTGTGCTAGATAAAAAATGTTGGGAAATAGGAAATCCAGGACCCCAAGGGTTTCTGACCCTACTTTGAGGAGTAGTGGGGTGCAAGAGATGGAATAGTTGCAGGCTGTACTTTGCAGCGTGCAGATGTATTTGATAATTTATCAGGCGCCTGGTCTCCGAGCAGCAGTGATAACCCACAGCCCACAGCCAGCAAGACACCTTGAATCACGAGGTCTCATGCTCTAAAAGAACTTCTCATGCTGACTCAATGATGATTTGATGGATACAGGCAATATTTCAAAAGCATATCCTTAATGGTTTTCAGAGGAGACACTAACATTCTGTAGCACAAACTATTATTTATTGAAAAGGGATTTCATAACTTTCATATTCATTTCACTATCGGATCATTTTCAGACGGGCTATTTGTGACCCTAACCCTTACATGCATTTCATCCCTTGCCAGTAGCTCTGAAAAATCTTTTTTTCTGTAATTTGAGTGTTCTGTGTTTGTCATTGCTGAATGTTGTGTATTCTGCTTCCACTGGGGATGTACAGACTTGTCCCATCCTGGGTCCGCTAATGAAATTTTTATACTGAGAAGAGAGTAGTTTCATAATTCCCCAGCGAGTTGCATCAGCTTGTACTGATATTGTTCTATCAAGACCCACCAAGAGCAGATTTGATATCTTGATAGTTGAGGGGAACCTACTCTGTTTGAGGATGATCCTCCCCAATGTGCACTGGGGCTTTGGAATACATGCACATGATTGAGATGTTGTTTTAGATCAATGTGTCACTTTTCCATCAGAACATTTCATTTGTCCCCTAACTGTCAATTCAATAATGCTTTCTGATTGAAGTGACTGAAGGACGACCAACTTCGAAGAAACGTTCAGTGGGGATTTCGGCTGCTGTATGTGAACTACAGAATGCATCTATTTTGACAACAATGGTTTCTCTAAAAGAGTGTAATAGTGAGCTGCGTCTATAACTGTTACTGAAGGTATTCAAGCATCTTCACTGCTTCTTTATGTACAGTGTTTACTAGTTAAATCCTTGCAGAAGTGCATATTTTAAATTGAATGCCAATTCAAACATGTAGAGATGCTTGAGCTTTATATTTGGCTCCCTCAAGGACAGAGATGATTATTTGTTTAGTAACATATCATAGGTTGCAGATGAGTCTATTTCCAATTTTGAATTTTCAGTACTTTTGAAAAGTTAGAACATATTTTACATTGCCTCAAACGTGTCTGAGGGAGTAAAAAACAATGAAATGTTTGTATTTCTTTTGGCACTGTGTGTTGCCCAACAGCTGGCAAATGTTTCGTGATGATTTAAACATTTGGAAATCAAGAGAGGCTCTTGGTTAACACTGGTCACTCTTAAACTTCATGTCAGTTGTCCACAATATTTCCACACCCAAACTGGGAATTCTTTTTGATCTCCTATTATTAACCTCATTGTCATGATCATTTGATGTTTTTGCATGTGTTTTTTACATTTAATTATTTAATAATTTAGTGAGTGCTCAACATTCATATTATGGACCCCAGTTTAAAGGTGTGTTCGAGCTGTCAAATTTGTGGCATAATGCAAAGCGATTTTACACTTTTTCAGGTTTTCCCCAAACAGCTAATATCCCAACTGTGTAAAGGTTAGCTGTCCCTAGCTACCAATATACAAACCGACACAGCATACAGCATACACACTGACTGATCTCATACATGAGATCCATGTTAATGGCTCACCAGGAACCCCTGGTTCCTTCAGCCACAGTCCCTAGTTTCTGTCCTTTTTTCTGTCTTTGCTCATTTATGAGTTGGAGACAAACAACCTGTCGAAACATTTTGTGCGAATGCATCTTCACCTTATAACTGCATTAATCATGTTGGTCACTTATTCATAAGGTGAAAGTGTTAGCAAAGAATTCAACAGATACTGACAATACTTACAAATGTAAGTCCAATATTCACTCTCCTTTTAGCTCTGTTATTTTCTTCACTAACGTATAAACCCACAACTAAAAACAACACTGATGAGAGTTGAGTTGAGGGCAGAAAAACCAAAACAGTGAGCTAAAAGATGCAACACTCCATATGGCTAATAGGTACGTCGAAGCTGGGGGATAATTCCATGTGGGTTTGTCACTACAAGCAACATTATAGAGTCATTAATCCATTGTTAACATAAAATATGTTGAGTAGTGCAGCTTTAATCCATGCTGCCTAGAATGAATTTGCATCTGTTAGAACCCTTTGCCTTTTTATGCATTTGCACCATCTGTAAAATTTGCTTTTGACTGAAGCAGTCAAAAACATTTAATTGGAATCTTTTCCAACATATGCATTTACTCGTCACGACTCGACACAAATCACAACAATGACCAAAACAGCTCAATAAAATACACAATGCCCACTGCTCAAATAGAAGTACATACACATACATCACACACACAAGAACAAAACAAAGCAATAAAAACAAAAAAAAACAAACACACAATAAAAACTGCAACTCTGAGTGTGGGAATAGAGTTTCAGGTAACCTATATGTAATGTTTGGATACAATATTTTGTTCAAAGTAAGAAAGGTTGCAAGACTTTAAAAAATATTATTACTGAGGGTCTTGTGGAGTATTACGTTTCCACCCATTTACAGTGTAATGGTGGTTTGTCAAATTTCCAGTGAATCCACATTAACTGTCATGCCAATAATGACACTTGTTTAAGGCATCACACTGTGTACCTGTAAGTGCAAACACTCCAGGAGCTACTCCAAATAATGTGATTCCTGTGTCTGGTCGTATCTCCTTACTAAAGATATTATAGAACGTTTCAAAGATTGCGATTTTGGCATCTCCAAAACAAATGGAGTGGCAATGCTCAAAACATCTTTGCTAGTCCACTTCTGCTGAAATATAGTCTATGTATTACCTTAAATAA